CAGATTCCGTTTAGTTCAAATTCTCTTTTGGTTTCCCTAAAAGGAGAACCCTGTCCATGGGCTTGGGTGCAGGTATTCTGTTTGGGAGGTTATCCAAAGGAGCAGGAAGGAGGAGAAGAAGAGTGGGACAGAAAGGGAGGGGAGATCAATATAAAGGTGTATCATCAAGGTCCAGCTGCAGGGAGCAAGGATTCAATTTCTGAGCTTCAAGGACCTCTGAGAAGTACATGGAATTCCTCTTGGGATTCTCTCCTGAAGGACAGGAGTCTGGAGCACGTGTCTATCAGCACATATCCCTCCTTATTTGAGGATTGCTTTCAGGGATGTTAAGTCCCCAATACTTCAGGGTTGATAAGCACACAGGAAGATGTTCTGTGCAGGTATTGGGACAGGCCCTGAGGATACACTGCAGGTATTGGACGGTATCCAAGCCTGCATGGAACTCTCCATTGCCTCTGCCCTAAAATGAGAGAGGTGTGATGAGGGAAGTTGACACAAAGGACAGACCTCTTATCTTATCAAGCCCTTCATATCACAAGTAGGTATAATTTATAAGAACCCTCAGAACAAATGAAGCTACTTGATGGGAATATGTGCTCCATGATGGGCCTTCTAATAGATAATTCATTACACTGGAAATTGAAATTTGGGGAGTGATGTCTAATCTTGAAATTTCAAAAAAAAAATCACCTTTAATATAAATCTACACCAATCAAGGGTACGTTCCCCAACAATGCCATGGAAATGAATCTCTTTTACCTCCTTCCCCCATGTCAGCATAAGAAGCAAGAACCAGGCAAAAACCAAAGATGGCGTTAGGGAGACTCCTGGGAGAGGATATAGGGCGAGCTCCAGCGGGGTACTCTGCCTGCGGTGCAGGGAGCTCACAGGGGCTCAGCTTGATGTCCAGGATCCCTGTGGATTCCATGCTGTTGGGGCATCAATTTTATTTGAGAAGGAACATTTTATCACAGTCACATGATGAGAATATTTCTCATTAGAAAAGATGTTAGAGTTATTTGTGTTATTAAATCAAATCTACCAGTCAGTGCTGGTGGTTCAGAGAGTTAGTGTATATAAAGAGGGATAGTTGGTGCCTCAATGTATTTAGACAGTATTCTCAAAACTTTTTGGCCATGACCCACAAAAAGGCATACATTTTGTATGATGACTCAGTAGATACATGTGTGACTATATAACTGAAACAAAATTTCCACATGATAATTCTTACCATGTGCTCTGATATTCTCTATTCATTCTATTCTCCTATCCTATCCTATCCTATCCTATCCTATCCTAGTCTATTCTTTGTTCTTTTCCATTTTTTAATGCCAGTCTAGACTCACTAAGTTGTTTATATGACCTACAAGCAGTTTCCTTACTATGTGCTCTGATTTTTTTATTCTTTTCTGTCTAATCTATCCCATTCTATTTGTTCTGTTCCATTTTTTTAAAATGCTAGTCTAGACTCACTGAGTTGTTTATATGACTGATGAGCAGGTCACAACCTGCAGTTGGAAAAACCCTGCCTAGGGCACCGTAGCTCTGCTCTCACAATTCCTCAACTGACTTGTTTCCTTTCATGTCATAAATCAATGTACATATAATTTGTTTCCAACTATAACCGTGGAATTGGTTTCCTATCCAACCTTTTTCCTCCTGCCAAATCTTTTCCTCCAGCCAAGAGCGTTAGAATGTGGGACATATTGTTTTGGACACGCTGAAAACATTTCTAGATCCTTTGGTACTTCATTCTAAAAAGGATAAGATGTAAAACCTATAAGAGGGGATCCTGGGTCAGGATGCTTTAGATTGTAAGGAACAGAAATCCTGCCTCAATTTGCCTTAAATAATACAGAAATATAAAACCTTATAAGGATGTTCAGAGCTAGGCTTGGTTGACACAGTGGCTCCCTGGTGTCACCAAGGATGCTGGATCTTTCCATCTCTCAGCTCTGCTAACCTCCAGGTTGGCTTCGTCCTTAGGCTGGAATCAAGATGGTATAGATAGATGTTCCAGGTGTCACATGCAAGCACTATATCCAGAGGAAAATAAGGGTGACTCTTTTCCAGTGGCTTCTTGATACAGAAGCTTCCAGGAGATGTCACATCCTGTGGGCTATAATGAGGGTCATATGCCTTTTCCTAAGGCAATAACTGGCAAGCAGGGTGTGGTTACCCTTAAACAAAACAATTTACAAAGGAGAAAGAGATGCCTAGACAATTAAGTCAAAGTCCCTGAAGCTATCTTTGATTCCTCCCTTTTTCTCATCTCTGTATCTAATTTGTCACCAAATCTTGATAATTCTACCTCTAAATATGTCTAGAATCAGGCCACTTTCCACTGTGACCATTGCTACCGCCGTGGCCCAAGTCGCCATCATCTTCTGTCTGGATATTGCCATAGCCACCAAATTGCTTCCCCTTCCTCCTCTCTTTACACCCCTCCTTCAGTCTTTTCTCAACATAGTCACCTTGTTAAAACAGTCAGGTCATGTCACGCCTCTGCTCACAGCTCTCCCATGCCTCCTCAGCTCACTAACCACGCCCTTGAGGCTTTGCACCAAGAGCCAGACATTGAGGAGTGAATGAAATAGACATGGGGCTTACCTTCTAATGGAGATAGAGATACACACAGCCCATTAAAGAAGGAAAGTATGTAGTATGGTAGATGGTGATAAGTGCTATGGATAAAAATGAAGCAGATCCCTGCATTCATAAGGTTTATACTCTAACATATTGAAGGGCCCGGCTTGGCCCCTGATATGGGATAGCCTTATTACTTACCCTTTCATTAGCAAGTGACAGAAGCCTAATTCATATCAAATTAAGCAAATAAGGAGAAATGCAAAATAGAGGCCCAGTTCCCACCACAGCTGGATTCAGAGGCTCAAACTTCATCAGCAGCCAGTTCCTCCCCACCTTCCCACCATGCTTTTCACCAAATTGGCTTCTTTCTCAGATATACTGTCACCAAACTGGAGCAACGATTGATGCCATGGCTCCAACTAATGTCCTACTATCATAGTATCCTGGTGAAAAGACAGCCCATCACAGAAGTTCTAGCCACATTTCAAGCCCTCATTTTGAAAAATGTGGCCCCAAATAAAGTATTAAGCTGAATGTCAGTTTCCTTTTCTGTAAGTTGAGGGTATTGAAAATATACCTATTCCACAGATCATTATAAGGAAAACTTGCTTGATGTATCTAAAGGCAACTTGCATAGGATCTAGCTAAAAGGGCACAATAAATAAATATTTACTCATTGTTCATTTGTTTGCAGATATGGGTGAGCTGATCACAGTAACTGCTTTAGAGAGCTGTCACTTTTATCAATGCTTAATGTTAGCACTTTGTCGTATATTTGTAGTCCTGCCCTGTCACTGTTTTATGTGAGCCATTTCTTCAGTTATACTGCAAAGTGTTCCCTGTGTAGTAAGCTAGATAAGAGGTGAGTTTAGACTCTGAAAAACCTAGGTTCAAATCCTGCTCTCCCACTTAAACTTGTGGGATCTTGTGCAACTGGATTATCTTCCAAGAGACTCAATTAGCCTATTTGTGAAATAGGGGTGGTGATGCCTTCCTCACTGGGGTTGCTAGAAGAAAGAAATGAGGTGATAGTCATTATTTTCCTACCACCATGACAGGGTTCAGTATATAGTGCCTATCAGCCTAGGCTGGTACCCACTACACAGTGACTATTCCGTGAATGCATATTTGGCATTAGACACACATTCTAGACCCTCAGGTTGGGTGACCAATGCCTGAACTCTTGGGCAGCTCTGCTTCTGCAGACGTGAAATAATTTAAATAACTCATTCTTAAGAATTTCCTTGGATGTAGAGTTCTGAACAGT